CCCCCCCCCCCCCCCAAGCCCCCCAACACCTTCCCCCAGATTACCTCTTGCTTAAACCTGTGAGCTGCCTTCTCCATTCGCTCCAGGGCCAGATCCCGTGTCCTCCTCGCCTCCTGCATCTTCTGCTGGATCTGCCTATGTCCCAGCCATTTCAGTACCACAATGGCTGCAGCTGAACTGCAGAGCAGAGCCGAGAGAGTGCGAGGATCTCCCCACAGTGGATCTAGGACCTGCCACAGTCGCTCTTGGCTCATGATTTATCTCCCAGTCCTTCCTGTTCTGACCAGTTATGGACACCTGGGTCTCCCACCTTCTCCTAAGGAGGGCTGATGAAGGCGATTGCCTGCTGTGCAAGATCAGCTCTGAAGAACACTTGCATTAACAAAGTCCAGGAATTAACTTTTTAGACCGTGGACTTTGAAAGGGTCTGTATGCTGGAGAACTGTGGGTTGGGCTGCAAAGCAGCATGCTCAATTCACACTGGGTTTGGGCGGGGGGGTGTTCCCCAAGGTTGTGTCTCCCCAAGCCACTGGCTGCTGCTGTACCTCGCTACACACGGGACAGAGCTGATGAACAAAGCCAAATGTCTGCAAAACCCAGGTCTGGGCTACCCCTACTATACCCATGTCTAATAATTAATTATCACTTAAGCGCATTAACTAGAGGTGCTCAGTCATCACCTCTGTCCCTCAGGCAGCAGCATGTGCAGCCCTTTGAGCCTGGAACAACATTGCACTGCCTGTATTGGGGAAAATGGTGCTGGGGGTGAAACTGCACCCATAGGAGAGGAGGGAGCTCAGGAGAACCAAGGGTATGAAGGTGCAAGCACACAAAGGCAGTGTGGAAGGAGCTATCTGAAGATGCCTTCAAAGAGTACGACTGCTCTGGGTCATTTTCAAGTCAAGCCCCTTTGAAAAGCATTTTGGCAACCCACATCAGGGGGTGAAGACTTTTGGGACATCCTCTCTGATGGACCCAGTATCCTATCCGCTCTCCAGTTTCTAAGCCATCTTCTAGCCAGCACAAGGCAAAGGACCTGGACTATGCAACCTTGCCAACACTGGGAGCTGCCCCTTGCTATGGGTGCTCCCCACCCATGGGACTGTCTCTGAGAGTACAGAAAGGAGGGACTGAAAAATCAAACTTCTCTCAAACCTCAAGGGTCTTCAAGCCTACAGGGAATGAACAGATGTCTCTGAAATTTCATTGCTAAGATGCAAGGCAGCATTGACATGTCTAGAGATGCTGGCTCTGCTCCAAGCAGGGTAGCAGAGCTTGAAAGAAGGCTGCATCCAGGGTAATCGTTGCTCTCTGATGGAGATATCTTGTTTGGGACTGAAAGCCAGTGATCGTGCTGCTATCACGTTACCTTGCCTGTTACAGACATGTCCCTGTGGGATTATTCCTGTGGCAACAGGGAGGGAGCTCAGGGAAGAAGCAAGACCTCATAGAGAAATTGGTTGCTGATCGGAACGGTGAGCAGGATCCTCCCTGTTTGGCCAGGACAGAAAGCAAAAAGCCAAACAACTCAATGTGGATGTCGCCAACCCCTCCCCACTGACTGTGGGGATGTGGCCTTCATTGCCCCAACCCAGCTTTAAGCTTCAGTCCCGCCATTCACACAGACCTCCTTCTGTCCAGGCTGGGCTGGGAGCAGCCTGCAGCTGGCCCTTTTTGGTAACCTGAAATCCCCAAAGCCACACAGCAGCTTTGGCCCTGCTCAGAGCACTGTCCTGTGGCAGTGGGCACAGCTCACTGGATGTCTTCACTCCGGGCTTCCAGTGAGGAGCATTTACTGGTCCAGGTCCACTGGTGTTCCTGTTGTTTGGAGTCCTGCACCCTGCCCACCTCTGTGCCAGGGAGTGGTTAAACTAACAGAGCGAGGCAGTGCTTGGCTCTCAGGGAGCATGGGCACAGGCTGCATTGTCTCCCCTGGGACAAGCTCCTCCAGGCTTGGATTTCAAAACGCTAACAGATAAACCTCTCTGGTATCCAGCATTTTCTCTGTGGGCAGGAAGCACCTGCAACTGATGAAAACACCCATGCATGTTCTTCTGAGGCTTGGCTTTACATAACATTCAGTCCTGGGATGCTTGGAGCTCACTCCCTCCTTTTTTTTTTCAAAGCCTGCTGATAGTCAGGGTCCTGGGGCTGCTTTTTCGTAGGCTGGGATCAACCTCTCTGCCCAGCCCTTGAAAAGACCCCATACTTTTGCATGACTCTGGTTTAAACAATACTGCATTAAAAAAACATAAATTCTGCCAGAGCTTTGTGACAATCCAATTGTGACATTTCTGCATTGGGAAAACACTTTTGCATTATGGTATCTCTTTCTGGGGCATACTTGGAAACCTACTGGGAGCAGCAGGTGCTGCCAGTCCCAGTGTTAGTGGCTGCAGGCAGCTGGAAAACCTGGCATGATCCCGTCCACCAAACGGGAGAACAGGGTGTGCAGGGCAGGCGGTCCAGCTGGCCATCTGACCCTGGCATGCTGCTTTATATGTGCAATACCATGAGCTGAAGCACTTCATACCTCTACTCTGGGGAAAGCAGGACTAGGTGTCTGGAGTAGACGGGAAGTCACGATGACTCCAGGCTTCCCCTCCATGGCATGTGGAGTGCCAGCAGCCCTGTGCTGTGGGAAAAGGGCCAGCTCCCTCCCTGCTTGCCAGAGCCTGCAGTCAGGCTCAGCTTTGACCTCAGATTGCTGGTCTTTGGCAGGGAAAACACGGGATTTTGTCCTCAGGGAGTTGAGGTCGGAGGGGAAAATCCCTTTTCCTACAGCACTCCCAAATAGGAATCTGAATGTCTCAGACAAATCCAGTCTCCATACCTCAGTTTCCCCATTTGTAAGAGAAAGATCATGTTCTTGCACTTCCTTGGGGGGTATTGAGATAATTTTGAAAATCCACTCCAACCCCACAGACAAACACAGACCCAAAAGAACAGACTTTCCGAATACAAAAAGTACTGTATTAGAACAATGATTGGCAGTGTTCCACCATCGTGCAGCTCGCCTCACTTTCCCTTTGCACTCCAAAGCCAGCAGGCAGCCCTGTCATCACCACATCCTCGTGGAGGGGAACACGAGTCCTGCGGGTGAGTCACACCAAAGGATGACTTGTGCTGATGTTTGCTGGGATCCTGCTCCGGGTGAGCACATGGGACTCAGAAGAGCCTGTTTTTCTTCAGGACTAGTGTCTCCACCTCCTTCATGAACCGGAGGCACAGCTCCTCCTGCCACGGCAAGGCCACGCACTGCACGGCCACAGGCAGACCCGCACTGCCACGAAAAGCCTGTGGTACAAACAGAGGGGGAGAGGGCAGGGGAATGTCCAGGCTAAAGGATGGGGGTGCTCGTGGCCCTGGGGAACCTGGCACCACTCACCTTTGCCAGGGTCCGGTCCCACCAGTCCCGAAAGTACCCCTGGTAGCCCTTCAGCTCCTCCTCATCCTCATCCGTCACCATCGTGACAGGGACCACGCCAACAGGGAAGTCCAAGGCGTTGTAGAGCATGGTGTAGCTGACTGCCACTGGAGGAGAGGAGGAGTTCGCAGCGACAGCCCGCTGCAGGGAAAGCCTTTGCCCCCCTCTGCGTAACCGAGCTTCCAGCTAACAAGGTGCTTGCACTGGGAACTCAAGGGCTGTGGGATGGAAACCTGTCCCTTGGCTCCCACATGGATGGTGGGGGCTGTCCTGGGTGTACCCCATGGACTGGGGCTGCAGCTGCCCCAAGAACTGAGCTCTTCCCACCACTGGCCAGTGCCTTGGGGGTGTGAGGGGAGGAGGAACGCTTCTCATTGATACTGGTGGAGTGCCACTGCAGAGGCACGCTGGCGGCAAAGGTCCCCCGTTGGCAGTCCTACCTGAGAGCTTCCCAGGGTAGCCAATGCCAAGAGCTGGGCCCAGCATGGGACAAAGCATGACGTCCAAATTCAGCTTTTTCCACTGGGCGATGAACTGGTGGCAAAACTCCTGAGGAGGAAACACACTGGTGGTCAGTGGGGTGGATGTACTGTCCCATGGCTGCTGGCTAAGGCTCTCCTTGGGTGCTCTCCACCTTTCCCAAGGAGTAGCCATCAGGCTCCATCAGGTCTGATCCTGTTAAACAACTCCTTGCTGCTTGGCCAACAGCCCTGCCAGCGTACAAAGCACCCTCCTCCCTGCTAAAACTGGAGGTGGGGAAAGACAGAGTGTGGGGGCACATGGCAACCTGGGACACGAGCATGGGTTTTGAGGAAACTAGAACGGAAATAAAGGCAAGTCTGTTGCAGCTGATGACCTACATTTTCAAGTGTAGGAGTAAAAAACTCCGGTCTGATTCAGGATCATGAATGCATCTACATGTCGTTCTAATCTTTATATGTGCTGAGAACTTGCACATCCAAGTGAGATCTGTTGAGGAGTGATGTATGTTCCTACCTCACATCACCAGGGATGTGATCATTTCCTAACCTTGGTGGGTACTGAATCTGTTTCTTCCCAAACACAAAAACCCAAAAATATCTAACCCCAAATTGCAGTATTTTACCTCAATTTCACAATGAAGACTCCAGACATCATCCACTGTACTAAAAAAGGAAACAAAACCAATGAAAGGCATCAAGAGGTGATGCAAAGAGTAGCTTTAGGGGCAGGGAGGGGCATCAAAAAACAGATGGACACAGGCTAGCTCTGCTCCTGAAGCTGCAATCAAAGCAAGAGAGGACTTTGCGAAGTCTGGCTTTCCTCTGAAGGGCTGAAGGTCTTCTTTCTGCTTCTGCCCATGATGGGGGGCTGAAGACTAAAGGCCAATTGGTGCAGTGCTGCTTGGGCCTGACAAGTGGCCAGCCCTGTTTACTGCCACTGTTCTGAGGAGGTGGAAGCCCAGCCACATCGTTTCTCAAAGTCCAGGCTGTGTGAGGTGGACCGATCCTTTGATGAGGGGACAGATGTGCTGCCTTGGAGGCACAGCACAAAATGCACCCTCTCTACTACAGGATTCGAGTCCTTCCTCACCACTAACTGCCCAACACTGACATTGCAGCAAGGAAGGGCAAGCCTCCTTCCTTGTGCATTTACCTTCCTTCTGTGTTACAGTCCCTACTTCGTAGAATGGCTGATACATTAAACAGTGCTGAAGCCAACCCTGTATTTCATTCCCATAAGCTTCATCCAGTTACTAAGCAAGAGGTTGTAAGTCCTTGCTCCCATTCCCATCCTCAGTACTAGAACTGTTTGCCAAACCCTGCAGGGTTAAGGTGTTGACATAAACTGCTCTCAGTTTGCTCCCACCCTTGTATTTTGTGCCTTGTATTTTTTCAGACACATGAAGCTGAAGCAGTATCCCTAACGCAGCAAACACTGCTGCTCTCCAAAAGAGAAACCCAAATCTTCACACACTTGCTCAGGCTCAGGTTTACTCACTTTGCTCTCATACTTCTTACGATACCTGAAAATCGAGGGACCTGAGAAGGAGAAAGTAAAAAAAATAAAGTAATTTACATTAATCCCAGTCCTGTCCCCTGAGACAAATACAAGCTGTTGACTCAGTGCTCAGGCAGGACTCATGGATTTTCCCCAAAGTGGGGAGAGAAGGAACAGAAATAGCATCACTCCAGCTCAGAGATGTGTCCAAGCACAGCCAGGAAGCAATGCCTAGAGACTTCTCCATGATAAAGCCTTACAGCAACGGGAGACAAGTTATTCACCACCTATTGCTTAACTCCACTTATGCTAGAAAGAAATGGACCTTACGAAGGGTTTGGCAATCCAGGAGAGGATAGTTTTTAGCCAGTTTGGTGACTTCGCCAACTGGAGAATCAGCCCCATGCTGCCTTTCTCCAGCTCCCCTTTGCTGAAAGAGAAAAGGGTGTTCAGCTGAGCAGTGTTAGGAAGCAATCACAGTGTATCAACTTTCACAACATCAATCCCTCTGAACAGCATATCTAAGTGACTAAAAGGTTTCCTCCATTCCTCTGGGCTCCTCTGATTCTCACAGTTATTTACAGGATATCAGCACCAGTTTCCTTTCATCTGTCAAAGCTGGTAACAATCCCAAAGAGACCCAAGGTTCAGCAGAATTGCTCGATGGTAAGCTCCCCAGTAAATCCCAGTGCATATCAGCCACCATCTACACCCAGTAGATCTGCTACCTGTACCCAGATGCTAGCCTAACCCTAAGGAGGTTTTTCCACAGAAAGGCACCGATCACACCAAACCATTCCAGGCTATACTTACAATTTCCTGAGGTAGGAGGCACCCCCATCTGCAAACACTCCCCTGAGACAGAAGTTAAAGATCACGTAGTCCACGTTCATGAGCTCGAAGGGCACCAGCTGGAAGGACAATGGGAGAGGAGTCAGTGGCACAAAGACAAGCAAGCTTTGTGGGAGAAACCATCAAGGGCTCGCAGTGGCCCAAGCTGAGCTGAGGATTTCCTGACAAGCCCTCAGGAAAGCCTCCAGCATCTGAGGCCACCAAGTCCTCCTCATCCCACCCATCCTCCCCTGAAAACAGTCTTCCCTTTGAGAATCAACTGAAGAGCCAGAAGAAACAGGATGGGCTTGGCTCCCCTATGTCCAAGCAGCCCAAAGGTCCCTCCAAAACTAGCACTGGGGAACAGACAGCATGAGCCTGTGCTTCCTACTTAACTCCTGATCCTTGTGCGAGGGTAAGGGGACGGCATGCAATCATGACCATGCCTCATGCACAGGAGATGACTTGCTGAAATGACAGAGATGAGGAAGGAGACAACCTCTGCTCAGCACTGCAGAAACCCGAGTCCCTAGAAATGGGTCTGGGTCAATATGGGACTGCTGGGCTATAAAAGACCTGCCATGTGCAACTGCGCTTTTATTTTCTCTTAGGGCCTTATTTCCAGATACAAAACCAGGAGGTGGCTTTCCATACAACATGCAGTAGATCTGTGGAACTGCTTTCCAAAGGATATGGTGCAGAAGAGGTGAAATTGGCTTGAGAACAGACTAAACAAGTACTTGCACAACAGCCTGTCACAGCCACTGAAGAGAGGCGGCCCATCAGGCTCAGGAAACACCCTGAGCTGACAGTAATCATACACTGCTGGAACTGTAAGCTCCCTGTGGGCACTGCTGTGGGACCCGGTCTGTACAGCACCTGGCACAATGTGGATCCCAGCCAGGGTGTGAGTAAATGCACCCACACTACAGACAAGTCATAGAGCAGCATGTGTTATGGATCAGGGTGGGCTCCCTTTTGTGTTCACCAGCACCTGAAGAGCACTGAGATCCTACTGAGAGGAGAAACCAAGTTGCAATATAAAGAATTTCTCTTTTCCAGAAGCAGCTATTTACTTTCATCAAAGCTGTGGGAAACTGAGTGGATTCCAGGCCCTCTTTCCTTGTCACATTTGTCTGATGTTCACCCATGGGTCCCATGGTAGGAAGAACAAATGCAGCATCACTACTGGGCTTATACAACATCCTACCGTGTGACCAGCATCCTCCAACAACTGCTTTGTCTCCCGAACGGCACGTCTCATGGCAGGGCTTGGCATGGTGAAGAAATCGGTTTCATAGTAGCCTATGCGGAGGGGCTGCTTGCTGGAATACACCTGCAGAGCAAGGAAGAGCGCCAGCTGGAAGGATGTCAGTGATATCACGAGCCAACAGTACACCCATGCCGCAGGGTGAATCTGGAAAGCAGCACTTCTCTCGCCCATGTGCCCACCCACAGGTCCCGGAGGGCTCCCATGAGCCACTGGTGTTTTCAGCCTGAGCAATGGCAGCTCTTCTCAGAGACCTTTGCCCACTTTGAGACCCTTTACCTCTTCATTGAAGGGAAGGGGGGGCACTGTGCTGTCCAGGTTGAACA